GGTATCACCAGCTGCGTTCTACGAGTAGAGCTTGGAACGGTGTGCCCCTTGTATATTCAATTCTGTAATATAAGCAAATAATAAAAATTCAACTCTTTTGATTTCTGGAAACCATCATCACAAGTGCAATGTTGGCTACAAGCTGACCAAACAACTGCATTATTGGACTAAATGTGGACCATAATGGTACAAAATGAGGTCAGGTGTTGGACAAAATTAGTTACTAGAAAGTACCTAGTTTGGACCATTTTGCTACCAAATTTTGACTTTGATTTTGGCCGATTTCAACCTTGATTTTTGCCAATTTCCAACCTTCCAACTAGTCCAAATTTGGTCCAACAGCGAGGACCAAATTTGGACCAATATTGGTCAGCTAGGACCAAATCTGGTCCAATATTGGTCCAAATTGGTAGGCCTTGTTTTGTGATGATGCCTCTACCCCATGCCCCACGCCATGCCCCCACGCCGTTTTCCTATGAATGGCCTACCGCGCGTGCTCCTCGGGCGTGGCGGGGAACCACGTCTCGCGAAGCAGAGCGCGCCTCTTGCCGCTGCCGAAATCGGTCTGCACCTCGACAAACCCCAGCACGCGCTTCCTGCCCGGGTATTGCAACCGATCTGCACCCCGCTCGTCCATCCCGCCTGGAGATTCCGCCATCGGTCCGACCGGCGCCGGTGCGGCTGCGCCAACGGGCTGTAGCTCCGCGGATTCATTCGTCACTGTCGCTGCGACAACTGACTGTAACTCGGCCGAATCATTTGTCGCAGTCGCTGCGTCATACGGTTGTAGTAACTCGGCGAGTTCGCTCCTCGCGGCCGCTACGGCAAGCGGCTGTTCTAACACAGACGATCTGAGAACGAGGATGTCTGAAAGGAGGAAGAAGAGAACGGCTAGTTGGAGCAGGAAGAGGGACCAAGACACGCGCCATGACGTCACCAATTGCGGTTCGACGGACGTCTTAACTTCGGAGCCCATCAACTGGAATAATAAATGAAAGGACTTCATTTGGATCTTTCAGCGGCTTACTAAGGCGTTTGAGCGGTCTAAACCCAGCCAATGAGAGGTCCGACCCTTTGAGTCTTTCTTGGATCGTTCGCGGCGAATAGTATCGGCAGGTAAGTCACTGATCGGTGTGGTGTTACTACACAAATATCGAGACCGATCTTGCACTGCAGGGAATATCCTCATCGTACCGAGTCGGCAGGAATGGCTTCGTCGATTGTGAAGGAGACGATAATATAGGTCCAGCTATGATTTGGATCAGAGCACGCACCTTCACCTTCATATCGCTGCTCCCACTGTCTCTCTCAACACTCCCTCCATTGTCTCTTTCCGACCAACGTTGGGCTTCCCCCCCCCGCTCCTCCTCCGCACGTTCGGCATTGAACGTCGATGCCCGCCAGTCAGCTGACCGCGGGCAGAAACAAAGCTGCGATGGGACAACGCGTGTTTTGAGTGGATGCGCTTGCTGTCAAAATCGAGAAAGCTGATGGGATGTGTGTCGAAGTCAGGCTGTTTTGACGCCCCCCTGACCGACCCCCGACTCGACTGATCAGCTATCTGAGAAATGGGGGTGCTATGACTTGGCCAGTCAACTGTGGTCCGTCAGTGAGAGCTGAGATGTCTCTGTGACTCTATGCGGACAAAAAGGAATGGTGGTGCCCCGTGCCCTGGTAGTGGCAGTTGCAACCGCATCCATGATTCGGTTAAAGATTCGGGTCGGAACACACAAACCATATTCCACACTTGCTGCTCGAGGCAAACTCGAAAATTTGGTCGCCATAGGTAACAACACTTCCGTAGGTTTCTATGGAAAAGTCCCAAGAAAACCACATACACCCTGTTTCTCGATGTTTGAACAATCGGGAGCCCCGGCTACAGTGCGCACGTGTGCTTGGATTCGGCGGGCTGGTGCTTGCAACCGAAATGCATTTCAGAAGAACGGTAGACAACGGTTTATGGAGGAAACGTGCTCTTGAGTTCGGTTTTGTGCGGCAAAAGTGCTTATACGGTATGTTCTGGGACCAATTTGGACGCATTGATGTCAGTACAACTGGCTTGTCAATATGGCGAATGTCCGTCTGGCGCGAAACAGGGTGTAGCTTACAAAAAATCACAAGGGTTGCGGTTGAGTCAGGGTTTCGGGTCGGGGCATTTCACATGTGACAAAAAAGTAACGCACATGCAACTTCACAGTGACGCGAAGTTGTAAGTTGTTATGCCAGGTTGGGCTGACATAGCAGCGACAGCGGTTGAAAGTGTTTGAAGGCGGTGCATCAGGGGTGCTTCTGATCACCTTCTGTGATGCTCCCAACTTTCTCGCCTTCACCCCAGAAACTGTCCCCATGCCGGGCTCCGCCCCAGACCGTTGACATCGACATCGATGCTCGTCAGTCAACTGACCGCGGGCAGAAACGACTACTGCCCGTGGATCCCTCCTGCGCTTGCATCAAAATGCCAACGGGCCGTCCAGTCGGGTACACCCTTTTTCGCGCTACACTGACAATGAGATTCACAGGCTCCAGTGTGTACTGTTGCTTGGAACGTAGCGGTCTCGTGCTTACAACCCAACTGCAGGTAGTGACGGGCAAATGGACTCCTGGTGAACGGTACACAACGGTTTTCAGAAAATAACTTGCTTTTGGGCAGGGCTCAGGTTTGCAGTGTAATTTACCCTTCTATACTGATTACAAGGGTGAATTTTTGGGTCTACACTGATATGCTGGGGTAATTTTTTGGTGAGTTAGTGTTACACTGATCTGTAAGTGTAATGATTTAGGCCACACTGATGCTCTGGGGTAATTTTTCCCTTAGCGAAGATTACCCTGAAGAGCGTACAGGGACTCCCCCCCCCCTCGGAAACTCTACTTATTGAGAAGAAGTTTCCTAGAACTTTCGTAGCGATACACCCAATTTCGTAATGATGCACTACGACGCCAGCACACGTGAGTACTGACAACCGACACCGAACACCCCAGCGGAATTCGGTCGACGGAGCCGAATTGCCAGTGTCGTCGAGGGGGGTCGTCAAAGCCTGGGCTGACGGGGCGGAGCACTGACGCGCGTGCGGGCCCGCCAGCCTGGGCCGAGCGCACGACCGCCGCCCCGCGGCCCCGCCCCGAATGTGAACAGCGGCCCACGTTACCGGGTGGGGTCGGCGAACTGGCGACACCTCGCGCGTGGGAAAATTACCCTCGCGCGAAGGCAGCCCACACGCGCCACCTGCCCGCGAGGTCCTAGTAACCCATCGCGGCCTGCCCGTACGGGCAGGCGAGGGCCAGGCGAAAAGTCGGGGCCCCCTCGGGACACTCGACAACTTCGCGACCCGTTGCGGCGACGCCACGTGTTCGCCCGCCTACTTCGCATCGGGCAACATGCACAATTTGGTACATTGCGAATTCAATTCGGGACATCGCGAATTCGATGTCGATCGCTTCGCGGCGCACGTTTTTCGCTTCGGGGCGTGACATCGACTTGCTGGCTCGGCGGCGAATGAGGACTTGTGCCACTTGTGCACGACCCCGCCAAACCCCGCCGAGGCAGGCACCACGAGGGCCGGGCGATGCCTCGACCGTTCCTGTGGGGCACCGACCCCCTTTTCTTGGTGGAAGGGGGCATCGCTCCTCATTTTCGGCATCTCGTTTCCCTTTCCACCTTTTCCCCAGCTCTGCGCCTTCTCCCACATTTCACGTCCCTTAGTCGCTTCCCTTCCCCGCCATGTCGGCCGCCCCGAAACTCGGCGAAGTGACGCCGACTTCGCAGGACTTCCCTCTGTATCTCGACCTGGGTAGTGGACTCACTGCCAAGCTCGACGAACACGACTACGCCGTCCTCGTAGACCATAGGCTAGAGTTCAACGCCCGTTGCTTGGGATTCGGCCTCAAGTGAGTGTCCGTATTGGGATGTCGACGTCGACCGCTGGATACCTTGCAGGTCGACGTAGATAGGGTTGTCCCACGTTAGGGTTTAGATCACTACTCGGTGACGCACATAGCCGTAGGTAGGCATCGTACTCCGATCACTACAGTAGGTCGGTGCCCGCATCGGTAGGCGCCATTGATTACAACGTAGCGACGGTGGTGCACCGTTCTACTATCGCCATCCCCGTCAGTTGTCGGTTCCAGAACCCACGTGTCCATCCGTCGTGCCGTGCACGTCCTCAAACACATCTACTACCCATGCATGCGTGCAGGTACGCATGGATTCTCGCGGCGCCGGCCAACATGCGATTGTGGTCGATAGGACTCGGCCGGCTTCGGGCGGCGATGGGCAAGGAAGACCACTCATGCTTTGCAACGCTGTTCGACGCCGACGTAGCTGTTATCCCTCTGCATTCGAGGTGAGCCTAAGTAATGATGGTGTGCCATGATGCCTATGTCGCTGCTCCGTTCTGATCGACGTCGTGGTGCCTAGCCTGTGCAGCATCGCACCGCTTCCAGGGGCACATTGCAGCGTCGTGGTCATCCTGTACCCCGGCGACTTGTTGCGGGCCGGGGGAGAGACGATCAGGACCTCTGTCCGGCACTTCGACCCGCAAACCGTGAAGCAGTGGCACCGCGACGAGGTGATCCGCGTGCTGAAGTGAGCTCGATAGTGTAGTCGACGACGCATGCAATTTCGCCGCTGGGCGTTAAGCAAGTGTACTGACGATATGTGCCATGTTGCTTCAGGTTTTTCCGGGCGGCGGTGCTGGCCGAGCTCGGCCGCGATGGCCGGCACTGGGAGTGGCCGAAGCCTTCTGCTGAAGAGGTGGCGGCCAGGCTCGCCGACTTCGATGAACCCGTTCGAGATGTGAGTACCGATCGTTTTACCGTCCTAGCGCGATGCCATCGCCGCCGTCGGTGCTCATCCTTGCTCTCTGCTCTGTTGTTTGCAGAAAATGCGCGACACCGTCCGGGACAGCGACGCAGGCTCTGGCCTCCTATCAATGAGCGCGCTGTGCTGGGTGGTGAAGAGGATGGATCGCCTGACCGGCGACGACCGTCGCAGTGCGACCAGCATGGACAAGGTCCTCGTTTCGGGATTGAAGGAGCTGCGGAGTCGGATGATGACATACATCAAGGAACACGTCGCACGCAGACGGTCAGGCCATGCCGGAGCTGGTGCCGATGCTTGTGACGACAACGCCGCGGAGCCCCCTTCGGCATCCCAAGCAGTAGGTGTCGCCGACACCAGCGGAGAGGCCGGAGATGGCGTCGACAAGGCAGATGAGGAGGCAGAAAGGGCTGTGGCGAGGACCGCGGATCAGGAAAAGGAGGAGGAGGAGGATGACACCGACGATCAGGATGATAACGAGGAGGATCGTGAGAAGCGTGAGCAGGGGCATGGGCAGGAGGAGGAGGAGGAGGAGGAGGAGGAGGAGGAGGAGGAGGAGGAGGAGGAGGAGGAGGAGGAGGAGGAGGAAGAGGAGGAGGATGAGGAGGAGGAGGAGGACAAGGAGGCGGCGGCGGCGGAGGCCGTGGAGCAGGGTTTCGGGTCGGTGGTGTGACAACTTGAGCTAGGCTAAGGAGCCATAGCTAGTTGAGTTCGAGTGAGTTAAGTTAGAGTCGAGAAAGTTGAAAAGAGAAGAAGGGTTTTCACTATAGAGCGAGCAGTACATATAGGCAAAATGAAAGGTGCACCACCAAAACAGAACATTATATAACTACACTAGTCTACACTACAGGCAGTTACAAAAACAATATATAGAAATATATATTATTCTTGACAGGTGGAGCAGGTGGCGGAGGGGGAGAAGCAGCAAGAGGGGGAGGAGGAGGTAGAGTTCCCCTGGGTCGAATTCGAGATGGAGGATGTTGAGGGAGCGGCGGCGGTGGCCGTGGAGGGAGCGGCGGCGGCCGTGGAGGGAACGGGTGGGATGTCGGCGGATGTTGTGTACGCGCGAGGGGAGGGTGCCGATGTGGAGAATGTCGGCGTGGAGGAGGCGCACGTGGTCGGCAATGTGGTTGGCGACGCGAAGGAGGAGGATAACGTCGCGGCTTCGACGCCGACGGGCGTGGAGACCACCACAGGGAACGCAGGGGTGGAACGCCGGGGTGGAGCGGTAGAGGCGGGCCGTCAACCGGGTTCCTCAGCAGCTGGTCGGCAGGCAACGCCGGCCGTCGTCGCGGAGCTGCGACAGGAGAACATGTGGCTGAGGGCAGAAAATGCTCGTCTCGAGACGGCGCTCGGAGTGGAGAGGGGTCGGGTGGACAGGTTCGCGATGGGGATTGGCCACCTCGTGGACAAGCTCAGGTCGTTGGCCGACCAGGTCGTCGCCTCCGACCAGGACGCGTCGAGTCGGCTGATGGACGCGTCCTTGACCATGGCGACGACCGTGACGGAGAACATCACCGCCAACATGGGTGAAGCATGGGATGCGATGAAGGCGTACGCCGAGAGGGCGGAGAGCTGGTTGGACGATCTAGAGAATCCGGAGGGGTTTATGGCGGTGCAACGTGCGAACGCGGTCGTCGCCATGGGCAACCACGTGGACGAAGCGAGGAAGGGATTGGAGGAATACATATCGAAGCACCTAGTCGCCGCGCAGACCAACATCGCCACCGCGGTAACTCAACGCGTCGCCGTCCCGCCGCCCACGCAGCCCGCCCCACCGCCAGCCTTCCCGGACGAGCTCATGAAGTCTTTCAAGGCGGACGTGTTGAAGGCGGTGACTGAGGCCACCCAGCAGTCGTTTGTTGCGTCCGGGTTAAACCTCATGACCCAGGTGATCGGCCATCTGGCGCCTGGTCGGCATGGGTCGTCGCCGTCGGACAACGAGGCCGACAAGAAGGGTGCGAAAAGGGCGGGCAGCGGAGATGATGCGTTGAGCTCGAAGCGGAGCAAGGGAGCCGATGGGAGCCGCGGCGTCGGCCAGGTGGGTCCAGGCGGCTCGCGGAGCAAGGGAGCCGATGGGAGCGGAGGTACGAGCGTGGTCGACCAGCTCAAGAAGAACGGGGCCAAGGTGATAAGGACGCACAGCAAGGGCGATGGAATCAGGAGTGCGGAGGGGGGCCCTGCCGACCAGGTTGGCGCTCAAGAGGCTGGACCAACAGCCCCGCCATTGGTCGCCGAGAAGCCGGCCAGTCTAGCGACCGCACCAACGGCGATAGATGGCGGCGCCAAAACCGTCAAGGGACCGTCCGGCGGAGTGGCGGTGACCACGTCGATCCCCCGCAAACCCCCTGCGGCTAGCAGCGCGCCGGTCGCCCCGTCAGCCGCCAACAACGATGGGTCGTCCCTTGCGGCTACTCCAGCACCAGCAGGCACGTCTGCCGCCAAGGTTGACGCGGTGGATGCTGCGGCTAACCGCGCTGGTCCGTCCGCCCCAAAGGCGAACGCGCTCAGGGAGATGCTCAGCCGCATGGAGACCCATCGACAGGACGTGCAGCAGCCTCCCGTGGTCGGTACCGCGCCGGCCACAACAGCACGTCGCTCGGTCACTCCCCAGGTCGCCGCCACAACGTCCAGTGCCCCACCTACCGCGCCTATCATCGCCGCCCGTCCTCCTGTGGACCCAAAGTCCGCGTTGCTTCGCGCCCGGTTAGGCGCACGTACTGCGGCTGCGCCAGCACGGGCTCAGCCGGTATCCAGCTCATGCGCAACGCCGACGTCGGTGACCGTAGCTGCACACACACTCGGTGCGGCTACTGTCGAGGCGGTGGCGGAGAAGGGCGTGAGTGCAGCGCTAGCCACGGGCGGCAGATCAGTTGACCCTGCACAGGCGGCGAAGGACCACAACGACGCCGATATCGCTGCCATCCAGGACCTGTTGGAAGCGGTAAATCGCCCCAAGCAGCCCCCTGTGCTGGCCATCTTGGACTCGGCGAGTCCCACCGGTTGTACAGCGGAGCCAAAGACGACCACTGCTGCGGTCGGCGCGGGAAAGTCGAAACGGAAGGGGACGGTCGACGCAGGGAAAGCGAGGCCGAGCTCGAAGAAGAAAACACGGGCGACGTCGGCGATGGTGAACTCGGTGGAGAAAGGACAGGGGATGGCGACGGCGATGGTGGAGAAGGAGAAGGAGGAGGAGATGAAGAAGAAGGAGGAGGAGGAGAAGGAGAAGGAGAAGGAGAAGGAGAAGGAGGAGAAGGAGGAGGAGGAGGAGAAGGTGGAGGAGGCGGAGGTGGGGGAGGAGGAGAAGGAGAAGGAGAAGGAGGAGGAGGAGAAGGAGGAGAAGGAAGAGGAGGAGAAGAAGCTGGAGGAGGAGGAGGCGGCGACGGAGGAGGAGAAGGTGAAGGTGAAAGAACGGAAGGGTCATGGCATCCGCCACGACACCACGGGCGACAAGCAAGGGTGGGTGGGCGAGATTAAGGTGGTCGGGAACGAGAGCAGATACATCGGCAAGTCCCGCGACAAGATGGAGCTGGCGTACCTTCACTCGATTGTGTACCTCCTGTACGACGGTTACGTCAGCAAGATCCTCATGGCCGAGCTCACCGGCTTGGAGGAAACAGTGATGAAGCAGTGGAGGGCGGTGTGGAAGGAAGTCCGGTTCTTGCCGACTGGGATGTGGACGGTGATATGGGCACGGGGCGCGTTCCTCCCAAAGACACGGTAAGTCGGATAAACGTCGGCCAAGCTATGATGTCGACGTCGGCGTTCCTAACGGCCAGTTTCGTGTGATTGCGTGACAGGTTCGATGATATCCTCGGGAAGTATCGAGCGTACAAGACATCAGGCGATGCGCACCACGATGCGCTTTTGCCCGCGATCTGGTTCCCCGTCGATGCCGACACGAAGTCGGATGCAATGATGTCGGCCATGATTGATCGCGTGTCCATGTGCGCGGCGTATGGGATGGTCGCTGCATCCGCGGCGAGAATGGAGGGCGACACGGATCAGAAGACGGCGAAGGTCGCACAGGCGCTGTCGGCCTCCGCTTGCGCCCTGTGGTGCTTAGTCGATGGCGACGGCGCCCAGGTGGCTGATGCCGTCCGCGAAGGGAAGGCGGCGGCGATGTTGGTCGGCGCCAGCGAGACTACCGCCGCCGAGTTCAAGAAGGTCATGACGGCGGTGCTGGAGGCCGCGATCAGCAGGCAGCAACCCCTTGGGGAGGTTGCGCACAACGTTGCACCGGCGCTGGAGTCCACCGCTCTGGCCAAAGCCTATCCGGGGTTGGATGTTGAAGCCGAGGCCAAACTGATCGCACGAGCGACGGTGGAAACCCTCGCGTTCTGGGGAATGTGCCCCGTGGATGGGCCGAAACTCAGGAAGATCGGCATCGCGGTGCCGCTTGACGCGCAGATGGAGTACGACATCGAACACAGGGGGAGGAAGAGGCCGAGGGGCAAGCAGGGCAAGGACAGCTCGGGGAAGAAGGGGAAGAAGGGCGGAGCGGGCAAGGACAGCACGGCGGCGTAGTCGGCATAACAATCTGCCATGGGCGGCAGGAGGGAGCGCAAGTAGGTCTTCTTGCTAGATGGCCTGGTATGGACGGCGCCGATTATGTAGTTTTCGTTGGGATTTTTCTTCGTTTGATTGTATATTTTTCGTTGGGATTTCTTTTGTTGGCTGTAACTTTTTGGTAGTGCATGTTACTAGAACACTCCTCGGCAAGGTCGACCTGATCTCTACCATGTTACTCAAATGCGGGCCCGGTTCGATGAACCCCGTCGGCGTATAGCAACTCGGCGTCGTACGGTGTCGACATAGTGCGTCTGGCTGTATGCATGTATATACTCGGCGATGAGCCTCGTCGGCTAGGCCGAGATGGTCAATGGTCGGCGCATTGGGGAATGTGCCGCGCCGCCCAGGTGGCCGAAACTCTAGGAGGCCGGCATCGATGTGCCGTTTGACGCGCATATCGAGCGGGCATGGACAGCACGGATGCGTAGTCGGCGCGCGGAGGGAGCGCTAGGGGGTATGATTGCTCGGTTATAGCGTGATCGGCGCCGTTTGCGCCGTTTGGATGCAGTCAGCGATGTTGACATGAATAAGGCACAATGAATTGCACACACATGATGGCGACTATGTCGGAGTCCGACATATCTGGTTCGGACGTATGTGTTGGATCATGTATGTTCGTGTTGCATCAAAATCAACAAGTACGATGGGAACACTACGGTTTGCTAAATTAGGGCATCATCAACCTACGCTAACACATATACACCGAGGATCTTCATGCCGACTTCTTGTGCTTTGACGGAGGACGCTGCGCAGGTGCGGTCTGCTTGGCCAAGTCGGCCACGGTCTTCGGCATCTGCTCCTCCCAGGTGTCTGGAAACAGGCGGTCGACCCACGTCGTCGGCTTCAGCTCGAGCGCCACCAGCGCACAAGCGAGGCGTAGCTTCGAGACCACCTTGGGGCCAAGCCCCTTGACGCCCATGCCAGGCTCCTTGGACATCGTCGGTGCCGTCTCCGGGTTGAGCACCGTGAGGGCATCGCAGAAGGTCCCAATGCCCGGTGCCGCGATCGTGTTCAGTGCATCGACCACGGCTTCGGTGTCGGCATCGCCGTCACTCGCGCGTAGCTGGCGCACCGCATCCATGGCCTTCAGCATGCGGCGCACCCTCATGTTGAGTGCACCCTGGGTCACGCCTTTGAGGAGGGTGTGGCGGTCGATGAACCCCGGCTCGGCGACCCTGTCGCAAAGACGACGGTTGTCATTGGCGGTGGCGGAGTTCCAGAGGCGCCAAGCGTCCCGCACGGTCTTTGAATCCCGCCAAGGTTGCACCACGTTGAGCTTGTAACTGGCCTCCTCTGCCGTCTGGGGGGGTGGCGGGGGTTTCCCATCATCTCTCTTGGCTCCGGTCCCCGTGTTGGCCGAATCCGCGGAGCCACCCTCGCCCGGAGTTTGATCGGTAGCCGATGGCGGCGCCGCCGGCATCCTCCGGGCTTCTGACACACGGAGTGCCTCGGTGAGTCGAGCAAGCTTGGCGGTGAGCGACGCGATGGTGTCGTTTTGCTTCTCGATCGTCTCCTGAAAGCCTAGCTTCTCGAGCGCCGAGCGCTCGACCTCCTTCTTCAGCGCCTCCTTGAGGGACATGTTGTGATACTGGGTGTCCATGCGCACGGATATTTCCTGCAATGTTGAGTGTGCGGAAAGGCGACAAGAGGTTAGAATTCACCGGCTAAAATTCAACGACGCCGACATGGTCGGCGACTCACCTCCGGTTGTATCTGAGTCGGGTCCCGGCGCTTTTTGATCGTATCGGTGTCGACCGACTCGACCCTTTTCGCCCAGTGCTGGAAGAGGGCAATCCTGCAGAGCTTGGAACCTTGGACGTACGGGTGCCACGGTGTGCGGACGAGCTTCACCGCGAGGTCCTCGACGACGATTCGTCGGAACATCACGAGGGTGCGCAAGAAGTGCACTACGGCTGCATCAGCATCGCTCCCGTTGACGGCACGCGTCTCCGCCTGCAAGTCGGAAAGTGGCGTGGGTTAGTAGGGAGTTGGGCAGCCAACTAGGCCACGACGACTGAAAAACATTGTCGGCGTCGCGTGACATACATCGCGCAGCATAGCATCCACGCCGGGGAAGATGTGCTCGGCGAGCAGGTCCAGGAGTTTGTCGGAGGGCTCGACCCTGCTGCGCCCCAAGAAGTAGTCTTGCTTGAGTCCCGAGTAGCCGGACTTCTGCATCACCACCCTAACGGGAATGGCCGTGATGTACGCACGCGTCATCTTGTCGAGAGCCCAGTGTCCCAGCTCGGCGATCTGGGCGCGCGGCGTCCCTCCGATGGCTAGCTCCTGCGCACCTCCGGCGCGGGCGGCGTGCACGTTCCTTTTGCAGAACACCTTGTTGGTCCTCCACATCTGCCGAGTCCAACGTTGGTGGGTGGCGGAGGAGAGCTCCTCCTGCTCCTTGTCGTTTCTGGCGAAGAAGAGATGCTTCTTGTACCAGCGTTCGCGTTCTGTGGTGTCAAGCGGCGAAAGGAAGTCGGTGCCGGAGAACTGACCGATCTGGTCGAGGATGAAGTGCAGCCACAGGCCGGTCTCGCCGACGGCGCACAGCTCCGCTTCCATGTGTCGCGCAGCGTAGCTCTGCTGAAGACGGGCATCCTTGGAAGTCTTCGAGTTACGCGCGGCGATCACCATGACGACCGGCTGGCTATCCGGGTTCACCTCCGAGGTGCTCGCCAGGTGGTACAAGAAGACGTCGGGGAGCGTGATCTCGCGGATGCTGGCGCCGCGCAGGAGAGTGTGGTGGGAGAGTAGCGTGAGCACCTTCATGAGCAGGAATCGCCACAGCGTCTGCGACGGAGTGGTAGCCCGCGGGTTCCACGCCGCCGCCGCCCATGTCAGTAGCACCCTCATCATGATCTGGTGGAACTGCTCGGCGGTGTAGGTATCGCCGATGGTGCCGCGTCGACGGTCGGCGCAGTTCCTAAACGCAAATCGGCGGGGAAAATCTGTAAGACTGCGTCGACTTCACAGTGCACAGTGATATATAATAAGGTTGTCGACCAACTTACTTGATGTCCCTCTCGTTCTTGTGGCGGACGTTGAACCGCACCTCTGATCTCACCACCGAGATCTCCCTCATGATGCCCAGCTCCTTCTCTCGGTACAGCGTCGCCTCCACCCTCGCCGCCATCTGGCATGCCTTTATGCGGCCGAGGATCGTGTGCACAGTTGTCGACCTCACAGGTCCCGTTCGCGTGGCATTGTTCTCCTCCCCGGGCTGGTCAGCAATGAGGTTACACTCACGGCTCATTTGCTTCACGTAGGCGCGCAGCCGGGCTTCGGTGACCTTAGGGCCGTGCAGCCAGATGTACTGTCGGCGGACCACTGTCTCGTTGCACCAATCATTTTTCTTGTTGTCGCGGATGTAGTGGCCGATCTCGTCGACGTGCCTAAGTCGTTGCTCATGGGGTAGCTTGTCGTGTATCTGCTTCAGCATCTTCGCCGCCCACTTCTTGTAGTGGTAGATGAACGCGGTGTACAGCCTGAGCGTGCTATTCTTCTCCAAGCATTGTAGGTGTCGTAGGGCGTCCATAATGAGCACGTCAATGCTGGAGTACACCATGTCGTCCACTACAAAGTCCGTCGCCTTCCACCCTTCGCGCGGCACCGCCATGTGCTGATTGTCCTCCTTCTCGTCCTCTTCGAGCATGTCACGTATGTATTCAAATTCCCGCCTAAGGCGTTCCTCCAAGGTGCGCGGATTCGTGCTACACGGAGGACGGTCGTCGACTTCGTCGTCGCTCTCTTCCTCGTCGTCGTCGTCGTCATCACCTTGGTTTTCCGAGCCGGCCGGCACAGACGAAGGTCCAGTCTGCCCATCTACCGTCGGTGTCGACTTCTTCGTAAAATCCCCAATTGGCGGATTCGGTATGTCGTTGGTGTACTCCCCTTCGGGAATCTGAGTAAGTTTGTCAAGATCGTGAATCAACTTCAGCGTCTCTACGGGGGCAGAGGACGGACTGTGGTCGGTTGGGGTACCAACGTCGGGCATGTCGACGTCGTCCATGACCGCTCGTATGCTCTACCGCCGGCCGTGGAAGAGGGAAAGATTGGTAAACCAGAGACGGAAGTGATTCACGTCGACGCCTTAGTGCCGACCTAAGTCTATTCCAGGTCGACGCCTGAGTGCCGCCGCTGGGTCGACTCGGCCGTCGAGTAACCTAGACCCGCAGAGACAGCGAGGGTTCTGTGAAGAAAGCGAAGTGCCTGATGGCGCACAGGAGCATGAGAGAAACACGAAGCTGAACAGGCAGAATGAGAGCGTTGTGCGTGGTCAAAGAGGGGTATGGTTGCGGGCCACTGCGGACCCGCCGCGCTCCACGCAGCCCTCTTTGCAAGCGCCGCAGTGCACGTGCATGAGTGACACGATCGATGCATGTCTACTGTCACGCCGCTTTGCGCTCAACGGCACTCCCGCCGGTGCCTTGCCACGGTGGAATTCACGTGCGCCACTTGCAATAGGTGCAATAGGCCAATCACCTAGTTCCACTCTCCCGAAATGCCGTAGCGTCCTGCTCTCCCGCGCAAACCTCATCGACCTGCGAGTAAGCGCGTGGCCGGAGGCTTGGTCGACGCCGACATTCCCTGAGTCTGGGGCTCTCTTCGCCTATGCATTGTTTGGTCCGCACAGAACCATCCGCGTGGGTCGTGCTGCTGCGGTTGGATCTTCGGGCGACACCGACATCTCAATACCCCGCGTTCTGTGGCTATCTAGGTGGTGGACACATGCCAGTCGTCTTTCGCCGCGTGGACGATGGTTACATTTTTCGTCGGCGCGCCAAGTTTCGCGCGCAGCGAAATATACCCGGTGGTGCGAAGCGGGGCCACGTCGGCGCCGTCGTGGCACCTCCCGATTGTCAGGCTCGATCTCGGCCGTCCCTACTAAGCCACGTGGCCGTAATCGCGGCTCAGCGCACAACGTGTCGAGCCACAACGTGTCGAGCTGTGGTTCAGGGTCCGCTGAGGTATCCTTCTCGGGTTTCTCTCAGCGAAACCCGAGGTCGTCAGATAGTCGACAATCCCGAGGGGTTCAGAGCCCCAGAGGACTGCCAGGTCGCCCCAGTTTGCCACTCGCAAGTCGTCAAGAGCTCGTCAATCCCGAGGGGGTTCGTTGTCCTATCGCAACCGCGAAATTGGGCGGCAGTTTTCGTCGGCTGAGGTATATCATCCCGTGTCACTCCGTGTCTGCTTGCAACCTACCCGTTACTGTAGAGGCGATGCAACCTGATTGGTCGAAGCTGCACTCTCTGCAAGAACGTCAACTTTCTTGACTCGGAAATTTGGGACTCGAGGTTTCCGAACACACTCGAAATTTGCTGACTTGGCGAAAAATACAAGTGTTGCAGCGAAACCAGACAAGCCACTGCGCTCGACTTTTGAGTTCACATCACAACTCCCACCCACCAGCGCCCAACTTACGATAGTAATCGTGCGCGATTTGGGCCTCGAGCTTGATTGCAGCCAGCACATATTGAGCAGCCTAAAGTACAATCAGGGTAAAAAATATACCTACACTGATGCCTCTGGGTAAAGTTTTCAAAACTTCAAGTTACACTGATCCATCAGTGTTTCCAAAAAGGGCACACTGCTCAGAAGGGTTTTGAAAATGTCTACACTGCTAATCGTGAGTAGGCAAAATCCAAACCTAAGCCCTGCTTTTGGGTACGGTTGAGTGCGGGCAAACGTGCTTATATCGTATGTGCATGGACCATCCTGGACACATTGAGGTGTGTACATCCGATCAGTTAGTATAGCCAGTAACAGTGTAGCGCGAAACAGGGTGTACTGTATCCTCTCCTCTCCTCTCTTGCCATCGGGGAAGCTGAGGGGGCGTCAAGGTTGCTTTGACAATGACAACCTGACAAATTGCCTGTCTGCGAGATGGGGTACTTTCTCTGTCTGGGACTGGGGCCACGTCGGTGAGGGCTGAAATTTTTAATGTGCGGACAAAAGGAATGGTGGTGCTCTGTCTCCTGGCAGAGGCTGCTTCCACCGCATCTCACCACGCCGAAGGTTTTCTAAGTCAACTCACGACGCATCCAACCACGCCCTAGTTGCGACTGCGGATGCACTGTATCCTTGTCTTGTACAACCCCACTCTAACCTGAGGGCTGACTGAGCCAGCCGCCATGATTTCCCCATGAAAAAAACGTCGGTGATGCCTGAACCACCTCAAACCACATCCAATAATGCGATAAGAGGCCATGCGATGCAATAAAAGACGAAGGGAAATATGATTCTAGACACCTAATAAGATGTGAATGTCTACTTGTTGATAGGCATATTGAAACAACCAATTAAATCATTGTGAGTGCTTCTAAATATCAAAAGTTCCCTTGGTTGGTAACATCACGCATGTAAAATCAGGGTTGTTGCTAGTTGATCTCTCGAGCTTGCGAGGAGCATTTTCGAAATTGAAACAAGCATTTTGTACTGGCACATTAAATGTCGAAACTGGCCGCTTCCCAGTGCAAGCAGGGTTTTTCATGCAGTTCCTTCATTCTCACTTCAGGCTTGCAGATGCTGGAACACAAGGCGTCCCGGATGGCCAGAGCAGAGCGTGAGCATCTTGTCTGACAGAGTGGCGGACTCCTCTCATGTGACACGTCAAAGGTGAGCATCCATGCTCCCATGCTCGCATCGCATCCTCGTTTACAAACATCCTCATCCTGTGATCGTGACAGTAACGAGACCAGAAATGGGAAAACTATAATTTGGGATTCAAGTCAAGGAATCGTATCTGTAAGTGAACCTCTCCCTCGCTACCTGTTAAGAGCATTGGAAGTCGCCCGGGCACATCCCACCTCGTTATACGGCATGCATCACTCACCCACCCTTGGGAATAGTGGCCTCGCAAGGCATGATTCAGTAACTGAAAGCATGCAAGTATCACGTGCCCTGTGGGATGGCGTTGAGAAGATTGGCCACGTCATAGGGGAGCAAGTAGATGGCACGTTTTTAGGCACACCTTCGTAACTCATGGCTTGGAAGAGCGGCAGTACTAGGGAAAGCTTTTAGCAAGAAAAGAAAGAGAGTTAAAAAACCCTTGCTACGAGAATTCGAAAGCAAGAAACTGTATTCACTCAAAGAGAACATGTCGCAAACATGTTTCGGCAAGGCGGGGGGAAAAACCCGTCAAGCCTTCATCAGTGCTTCTGAACACAACGAGATCTACAGTCTGGTATGAGCTAAGTACTAACCCACACCGCGAACAGAAATCAAAGTTCCCAACTACCCAGATTGCTTAACAATGGGCATTCACCAACACAGCACTGGGGAAAAACCCGAGGTTACAATTGTCAGCCTTCCGTGGTGTCTTCATCAGGGCTATCGATAAGCCTTGGAACCTTCGCTCGCACGAGTAACTTTTGCAAGTTACGTGCACACCTCCAAGCAATGTAAACATTCCCCATATAAAAACCGCGTGAACATAGACGATTTTTTAGGCACCTCAAAAGGACCCCCAGCCTGAGACGAGCTGTCACAGGAGTGAACAGTGTCTTCAAGACCAGGGGGCCGCGTTCAGGGGGGGATAAGAGTCGGTGTGCTTGGCGAGCTTCGGTTTGCTCCAGAAGAAGCGGGCGTTGCCTGAAGAGAACACTGTGGAAAATGGGTGTGAGAAAGTCAGCAGGGTAACCCCAATCTCTAAGCCGCTGGAAGAAAGCACGCTTAGAAGCCAGAAAGGTTGGGGCAGATGTCGAGCGTAAAAGATACCGCTTCAGTTCAGCCCTTACGAAACTCGTCTTGCAGTGTCGGGGGTGGAATGAAGAAAAAGGCAGGTACATATACCTATTCATGGGTTTCTGAAAAGTTTTCAGATCCAAGGTACCCTGTTCGGCGAAGCGTGGTCCCTTGAAGATGACCAGATCCAGAAAATCAGCCAAATTGTCTGAGATCTGCCATGTGAGCTTGATGTTGGGGTCAAGTGAGTTGAAGGTATTCAGGTACTCCTCCAGCTCCCCCCTTGATCCGGGCCAAATGATCAGCCCATCGTCGATGTATCGCACGTGGCACAACGGAATCGTCCCAGACCACCTCCTTGTTAGCATCTCGTCCAGCCAGCTCATGAAAAGTACCGCAAAGCAGACAGCCGCAGGAGTTCCCATGGCCGTCCCTTGAGTTTGAAGAAAGATTCGGCTGTCAAACTCCACGTAGGAGTTCATCATGACCCACTCCAGCAGGGCCATGACTGGAAGAGCATTCAAATGTCTCCCTCGATGAAGTAGGCTGCTGTTCGCATCGAGTCCTCGCCGCAGTGGTATACTGGGGTACAGCGAAGTCACGTCGTAAATTGCTAGAAGAATCCCTTTCGGGAAGGCAGTTTTCTCCAGCATAAGCAGCAACGAAAGGGAGTCGCGTAGGTAGGTCGTTTGCTTACGAACTAGCGGCCGCAGTTCGGCATCCAACCAACGGCTAACATTAGAAGTCACCCATGAATGTGAAGCAGCTATGGGCCGCCCCGTGAGCTTCTTCTTATGCAGTTTCGGAAGAATGTAGAACGCCGCCGGCCGCCAACCTCCGCGAGGTTTGTCAAAGAAGTATTTCCACAGACTCTCTAGAAAAGCAGGTCCCCACACACTCTTCAGATCACGTAGTCTCTGCACAACATCGACG